TTATGTGGCTTGCATAACCTCGTGTGAAACAGATCGATTTTTTGTATTGCTATTACAGCTAAGTGTTTTCTGAAACCGGTTTACATTGGTTTATTAGAAAACAATACACATCCAGTTGTAGTTCGTTTGTACACTTATTGGTTATTAGTAATTTGGTATTACCAAAGGCCTTTTAACTAAAAAACGTAATTAACAAAGCATGATCTTTTTACAGAAAACATTCAGTTAAATATAAATCAAGAACGACTATCAATCGTCGTAAGAAATATATATTGATACTTCCATTAAATCCCAGTGCATATACAGTATATAAGTAATTGGTTAACGAAAAAGGTTAATGTACAAGCTATTTGGTATCATCAAATTGGAAGATTCTTTCTAGGTCATGTTTTTATCTTAAAATAACCCTCTTAAACTTTAGTCATCTTCTTTTTGCTCCATCAGTTTAAATCGTTTTAATTATGCCGACCTCTTTTTAATGTCACAGTTTACCACAACGATTAATGAAAAGAGTTGAAATAAAATAGCTCCACGATTAATAAATTTTACATTAACACTAAAGCTAACACATTATAAATCCTCGTACTTTTAAACTTCTTTGCTAACTTTCTGCCAATTAGTAATGATTTATAGTTTTTTTTTTTTGATAAAGAATAACGTTTATAGTTTTATAACAATTGACACTTTGATTCTGTTATGAAATGTATTGATCAAGCTTATTACTATTAGTAAACGATCAAAACATATTTTTGTATAATAGTTTTTTTTATAGTTTACCTAATTACTGTAGCATCAGATGGAGAAAAAAGACTATTAGCAAGTACGGTTAGACAGAAAAATATTATAATGTAAATGTAATGTTGTTGGTCAAAAAAGATAAAACTTTGGAATCATGCTTTGGTTTGTGTTTGATTATGTATTATCATTGCGCAATGCATAAAAGGTCCTTTGATTACTACTATTTTCCTCCATTAACTATTTGGTACAGGAAGAAGAATCAAATTTAGATTCCCTAACACTGAAAAGCAAAATTTTGTTTTCCTAACTAAGCTGTCATCTGTCAGCTTTCTCTAATCAGTAATGATAAATTCTTGGTCATGACACAAAGTCACGAATCCCATAATGTAATTCTATATACAAATGTTCTAATTATCTAAGAATATTTAATAGTACCTTATATCTTCATTGTCTTTACATGTTTTATATAGTATTTGTCTAAATAACGCTTTGAATGAGAAATTGTACAGGTGTTAAATCTTCTTATAATGGCATCTCAAATATTCTTGTAAGCTAAACAATATTAAAAACCTTTGCTTTCTTTTGTTGCCTCGATTTTCCACAGCATGATTTGTAAAAACCTATTTGATTGGAATCATTGAGAAACTGCCCTTTAGAAGCAACAAATAACGAAAAAAAAAAAAGAGTAAATGAGAATAATTTCTTTTTTCTTAAGAACAAAAAAAAACCAAAAAAAAAATGGATCTGATGGAATAGCTTGTGTGTACACCAATTCCAATTTTTTTTTTGTTGGTTTGATCAACCGGTTAAAATATATTTCCGTTGGTGGAGTAATTCAAAAATTTACAATTTTTTATTTTATAATAGATGTGGTAACTTAACGTGTTCGTCGAAAAGTATTAATATGTTTTTCAATTAATAAAAACAAACCACGCATTTTCATAAAAAAGATACAACTTAAATTATTTTACTTAAAATAAATTTATTAAAAAGAAAAGGCATAAAAATAATAAATTGATTATTGTTGAGCTAATGAGTAATGGCATGAAATAATATATAGGTAATAGGATTAGGAGGAACATGCCGCCCAATACTTGAATCTTTTTGAAACTTGAAGTTTTGTGTTTTGCCAAGTCATGATTAGTAATATTATTATGTATTTGTACTATTGTTGTTACTAACTAAGTAATACTTTGTTATCACAGGCTAATAAAGGCACTGGATTTGACATCACTTCGCAATTAAAAAAAACGGAAAATATATACAACTATGAGTCTATGAATAAATATGATGAATCTTCCTTGAAAGTGCTATTTTCCCCGCCATTTACAGTTTTTTCCTCCACAATGAAAAAGAAACAATTTTAAATACAAGAATACACATGTGAGCTCTCCGTTTCTCGTGTTTCTTTCTCTTTTCGATTAGAGAGTTTTATTCAGTCAAATTACCAATTATGCTAAAAGGCATTTGCCAGAAGTGATCTTAATAATAAATTGACAAGAGGTGCATCACTAGAATAGTATTATTTAAATTCGACCAAATATCTCCAGCTTAATTGGAAAAAACATTAAAAACAAAGTTCAGAAGTCACATAATCAACATAACATGCTTTGGTTCCAAATTCGGAGAAATGTACGTGCATCTTAACTCATACATATATATATATATTGAATTAGAGCATGCATGTTTTAAAGGGTTGAAATAATATTATTTTTCAAAGAAATCGACATCCTTGATAAGAGAATTTGTTTAAATAAGAAAATTTGTTTAAATAGGAGAATTGTTGTGGGAGAAAAGAATATACAGTGGCCTGATTATCTAAACTTTCGATGGAAGTTATATATTTGACAAAAGTTAAATTAATTAACACAGAAAAAAATAAGACAGAAATTGTATAAAAGTGGTAAAAAATTGTTTAGCATTGATTTAAAGTAAGTGTTAAACTAATAAAGTAGTAATATATTTTTTAAAACTAATAAAGTGGTAAATATATCGGTAGACTAAGTTGAAGGAAGAAAAAACAAGAGATTATTAAATCTGCAAAAAAAAATCTTCATAGAAAAAATCTATAAAATTTATTATTTCGCCTCATTAGTTATGATGTTTTTGATAATCTGGATTATTGTAAAGCAAAACCTATATTTATTATCGATAACCACAAAAATCCAGAAATTTTTGCCATTAAAACATTTACGGTGATCAGAATATATAAATAAAATAAAACAATTTCTCGCTTAAAGAAATTTGTTCTCTAACGTCGACCGACAAACTAAAGTTTTCTACACGACTAACACGAAACCACTAATCCATTTCTAATTGATTTCAGTTGTTGTTATTTTTTTGTTAGTCATTTTCAGCATATAAGGTGGTTGCCAATTGAAAGTTAATTATGGGGAAAAAAGCTTAAAAAATCCTCAATTATTTAATATTTGTCAGTTTCCTACCTGAACTTTTGCGTTGCCAAAAATTTATATGAATTAATTTTTTGGTTCAAAAACTACCTGAAATATTTTATAGTTCCAATTTTCACCCCACGATTTCACGGCCGTTAACGGTCAAACGGAACTAGTAAACTCCATTATTTTTCAAAACAAGAAAATACTAAAAAAAACCTTCAACTATTTAATCTTTGTCAAAAAAATACCTGAATTTTTAATGTTGCCAAAAACCCACACAAGCTAATTTTTCAATGCCAAAAAAATCTGAAATATTATACGATTTCAACTTTTACCCCACTACTTCACATCCATTAATGGTTCTCCCCAGATTCATTCGCTGATTGTTATTTATTTGATATTGGTTTGTTTCTCATCGTATACAACATTTATTTCGAAAGGCAATTTGAATATAAGTTCCTAACTAATCGACTCTTTCGAAGAATGATTTCAGTAGCTCATAATAGATTAATAAATATAAATTAGTAAGTAATCAACGGAGATAAAGTGTGATAGATATATTTAATAATCTACAAAGATCATCTTAGTGGAGATTAAATCAGCCCAAAAATAAAATGAAGCACTCATCTACAGAATCTTTAGTCATAAATATATCGTAATTTCAAAAAAATATATCGTAATTTATTTCGAATTCTATTGGTGATAACTTTGTTTTTAGTTATTGTAAACTCTTTGATATTTTGGTTTTTTAGTGTCATTTAACTCAAAACACAAAAACAAAAATTAGCTAATGTGGGTTTTTGGCAATATTAAAAGTTCAGGTATTTTTTTGGCAAAGATTAAATAGTTGAGGGATTTTTTCAGCTTTTTTTTGTTTTAGAAAATAACGGAGTTTACTAATTCCGTTTGACCGTTAACGGCCATGAAATCGTGGGGTGAAAACTAAAATTATAAAATATTTCATGTAGTTTTTTGATCTAAAAAATTAATTCATGTAAATTTCTGGCAACGCAAAAAGTTCATGTAGTAAACTGACAAATATTAAATAGTTGATGGTTTTTTAAGCTTTTTTTCCTGTGACCGTTAATTATGACAAATAAATTGGTTTATTATTAACCAAAAGCTCTCACGTGCTTACTGAGTTACTGTAAAAACCAACGTAACGCTGACGCATCAATAGAGACAAAAGTCAACGTCCCCATGCATTGAATTATTTAATTTGTATTTCATCTGGCGGCCAAAAATAAGAAATGAACTTTTAAATGATAATATGATAGAAATTTCATAAATTAATATTCGATAAATTAATAAATATTATAAATTAATAATTTTTTATGGTTTTGAATTGAGTTAGTTTAAAATATAACACAATTCGATATGATAATAATAAAATAATAATTTTAATAAAACTCTTATATAAATATATAGTCTCATTAATATTATAAATTAATAATTACTATAAATAATATCTGATATAAATATATAAATGAGATAATTTATTAAAATATGAGTTTATTAATGTTTTTTAGTTATTTTAATTTTAAGTCTTTTTAAAACTCATCTTTAATATTAGTAAAAATTATTTAAAGATTATAGATTTTTTAAGTTTTTTTAAAATTAATAAAAAAATATTTAAAATTTATAAATTAATAACTCTGTAAATTAATAAAATATCAAAATTCTGACATTATTAGTTTATAGAGTTTTTACTGTATAAAATTAACAAGCATAAAAAATTAAAGTTTCGGTCTACTAATCAAAATGTCTATTGAATTGACTCTATATTACAGAATCTTCTTCCCGGGTCAAGGATATCTGTGCATACGTTGAAATTAAATTATTAAATTTCAACATTCAGACAAAAAAAAAAGAAAGGACAACTGACAACTGACAAGTCATTTTTAATAAATAAAAGTTAAATAACTATAAACAAATACATTGTCTTATTTAAATTTACATTCTTCTAAAAATTATTATAGGACCGTTGGTCTTATTACGAGTGTTTCTTTCACCAGAAAGAAGAAGAAGCCGACGAAGTTGTGTATTGTAAATGAGACTGTTGCGCCCCAAAGCTGCTCATAAAAGCTTCCTCTTCCTCATGCAACCCATCCCATTTCTGGCCATCATTATTTTAATTCATAAGAGATTAATATTTATAAACTACACAACTTGACAACTACAATATATGTACTTGTGTTTTTTCATGTCACTTAATTAATGACATTGGATTTCAAGATACATGCAAAAACTGTTAATTTATTGTTATATATCTCTGCAACTTCACAATGGACAGTAGTACAATAATTTCTTGTTATAATCTTTGGTCTTCTGATTAAAAATGTTCAAATAGAAAAGAAAAAAAAAAACTGGTTATTGAGTTTTGATTTACCCAAAGCTCTGCGTCGTCGTCTTCAATGTTGGGGATTTCTACAACTTCGTCGTTACGTGCGAATCTGCCACGTATTCGAGGTCTACTGTCCGCCAACGTTTTCCGGCATGCATACTTTTTTGTTTCCATCCAAAAGAAAAGAAAAAAGGTTTGATAATTCAAAATAAATAAAGAAATAAAGGCTTCAAAATTTTGTAAAATGTAATACAAAATTTGTTACCTTAATAGTTTTGGTAAAATTTCTGTGGTTTCGTTTTGCTCTGTACTTTGAGATCTTCTCTTTACGCTCTTCTGCACTATAACGTCCCACCTTAAAGTTCTGTTCATCGGAAAACGGCGCAGAGGAGTTCTCCGACGATATCTGCTCGGTAAAATTTCTTCTTGGGTTCTGAAAAACAAAATCAAAATCAAAACTTTTAGTATAATTTATACACACCAAAAACAGAGCAAGAAACAGAGCAAAAGAAACAGAGCAAAGAAAAGAGAAACCTGCAAATCTCCTGTGCTGTAGACTCGTCGCATCATCTGACCGGAAAAGAAGTCATTTTCCGGCGAGTTCAAGGTATTGTAGTGGGGATTTAAGGAATCCGTTATCGGAATGTTGTTGAACGGAGTCTGATTTGGTTTTCCGTCGACAGAGTTGCTACTAAAGCTTCTCTGCATATACCTCCCTGCATTCTCTATCGCACTGTAGCTTCGCGCCATTGATGCAACCGTTTCCGTTTGACTATGACCGGAGCCGCCGTAAAACTGCTCTGCTTTGACGGCATCGGAGAAATCTGGATATAATCCGGTGGGAATTTGATGAGAGAGAGTTAGGGTTCCAAGAAGATCGCTTGGAGGAGATGAAGAGAGGAGGTGAGGGGTAAACTGGTCAAAAATGCTGAGAGATTCATCAACAGAGTAAAGTTCGTTGTTGCATAACAAATCTATAGTTGTTGTGTCTGAAGAAAACATTTCTGGACTAGAATTTCGGAAAATTGAGGAAGAAGATGAAGAAGACCCATCAAAGATATAAAGATCTGAAGAAGCCATTTTTGATATTGATGAACAGAAGAGAAGAAGTCAAACTCTGTTTTTGCTTTACCAAAAATGGCAAAAAGAAAAACTTTTTTTGTTTGTAAAAATCAGAAAAGTTCCCAAATTTTGAATCTTGTTTTCTAGGTTTCTCTGTTTCAGAACCAAGATATGACAGGTCAAGTTTCTTTTGTCTGGTAAGTGATGTATTTATAACGGCGGAAACAAAACTAATTTTATGATTATATCCTTAATTTTTATATGTTTTATGGATTGTTACACAAACTTTTGTATTCTTATACTTCTAACCCATATGCTTACGTTCAAATAGTTTTAACTCAACAATCCACTTGGTCTCTCTATCTATTTGATGCATGATGTGAGCAAAAGTTCCTTTTTGTTGTTGATATTACTATTCAAATCTGACGTTATAGAATCTAATTCCGTCATTAGCATAGCTGTTGAAAATGTATTTTTAGACTATATAAATATTTTATGGTGTAGTTGAGAATATTCGAGCGACTTTACTGCCAACATTGTGTTTATTTGCGGTTAATATTTTTAAAATTAAACTTTTACACGAGTTTACAAATAATGTATCAGATCATTCCTGTTTTCCAATACCAATGTAAATGAAATGTAGTAAAAAGCTCGGGAAACATGAATTCTTATTTTCTAGTAAATACAGTATACATTAACTACTCTAGTATGTATTATTTCTCAAAATCATTTCCAACAGCATTTGTTTTTCAATATTTAAACCGTAATTAAAAACTAGTTTAATTTGGTTTAAATATTTTATTTCTCAATATTTAAACCGTATTTCAATATTGATTTTTACTTTTAAGGGTGTTAAATATGTTTGGTAGTTTGGTTTAATCCGTAAAAGCACCTTATAGTTTACCAAAGAAACTCCGGTTTAAGTCTACCTCTGCACATTTAAAAAAGGGGTTAAATTGTCAAAATATATATATATTAAATATTCTGAAATTTCGGCATTTACAATGGGTCAAAGAGTTCAAATTCAACCAATAAAAACTCGAGAGAAGCGAAATTCAATCCCAAACAATAAATTTTGAAAACTGTCATTTCAAACTTCGAAGAGTGCAAAAGGAAAAAAAAAAAAAAGAGGAAGAAAGGAAGTTTGTAATTTTCTGGTTTGTTTGTTTCCAAATCAAGAAAACGAGAAAAAAATGAATGTTTAAAGCGTAAAACGCTATTTGAGTTTGTTACCATTTTCGGATTTGCAGTACCTAGAGAAATTTCATATTTTGCTACGTGGGTATTTCGAGCTTGAAAAGATTTGTGTTTTTGTTTGTTGTAATTATCAAAAATCATGGGGAGGTCTCAAGATAAGCTTGATAAGATGCAGCTCCGGCAGAGTTACCGGAATGTATGGCAGTCCGATCTCATGAGCACCGTAACCACCGATACTCCTTGTAATTATCTCTCTCTCTCTCTCTGTCTCGCTCTATTCGAACGTTTATGTTTATTTGGCTGGAGATACTGATCGATAATTATCGTTTTCTTTTTCTTCTTAATTTGGTTTCTGCAGATTGTTTCTTCTCGTGCTTGTGGTAAGTGATTCCTGTTCTTGAATTTGTTTCTTTGTTTTGTTTTTTTTTTCTGGATATTTCTGAAACCATCACTGTCCTTTGCATTAAACTGTTGAAATGTGGCTTTGTTGTTTCCACAAGAAATAGACTTTTAAAAATTTAATCAATATCTTTTGTTGTTGGTTCAATGATTTCTAAATAATATTAAAAATCCGGTGTTATTCAATATTTAATTTCTCTTTGCATTTTGACAATATGTGATTTCATATGAGAACTTTGTTATTTTAGATGTTAAAACCTGTAAATTCTACAAGGAGCTCAAGTTTATTAATTGATTTTCAGATAAATTAAAATACACAAACAAATAAACCTCTCTTGTTAGCCAAAGAAAAAACCAAAAGCAAAAATATCGTATGTGATAGATTTTAATAGCTTATACTGTCGTCATTCAATATAGTACAAATGTATTTGTCATTGAATGATTGTATGTTTTTTTGGTTCACATCTAAATCTGCCATTTATTCTGATTGTAGTGGACCTTGTGTTTCATACGTACTTCGAAAGAGAGCACTTTACAATGACATGTCAAGGTATTGAATTCTACTTTCTGATAGACAGTAGAAGATGACCAGATTGTGCAATGATTTGTTTTCTCTTAAATGCTATTGTGTTGTTTTGTTCTGTGAAGGTACACTTGTTGTGGTGGATACATGCCTTGTAGTGGTAGGTGTGGAGAAAGCAAATGCCCACAATTTTGTCTTGCCACTGAGGTAAAGCTAGCCTTTAATGTTATTTCGATTTTCATAGTGGTGACTAAAATGAGATGAGTTGTGGAATTTGAGAGTTAGCATTTATTTTGATAGTTTGATGATCTTTCCCCAATTTTGATGAGCATTTACTTTGATATTTCGATGATCTTTCAAGAACTATATCATTGCCTGCAGTTTCTAATGCTTGTGATATACTCTATCTTCGGAACCTGTAATTTCATTGTTTTTTTGTATTTTGTATGGAACGAAAAATTCGATGTTTTTAATAGCAAAAACTATTTTTATGTTTTTATGATATTCTTTAGTTTTATTTTGCTCTGTTGTAATGCCTTGTGATAGATTCTTTCTTTGAAATCTTAAGATTTCACTATTTATGGGAGCTTGAGCACTGAGTTTTTCATGTGTGGTTTCCATGTAAGATTGATTCAGTACAATACAATACAAAAGAACTCTTTTATGATCTTGACATTGTTGAGGAATTTTTTTTTCAGGTTTTCCTCTGTTTTGGAAACTCTGTAGCATCTACTCGGTTTATGCTGCAAGATGAATTCAACATCCAAACAACACAATGCGACAATTGCATAATTGTAATCTCTATTTTTCCCCTCTTTGTCTTCACTTTCCATTTCCGGATAATAAACATTACTTACATTCTCCCATCTTCCTTGGCATTTTGCAGGGATTTATGTTCTGCCTTAACCAAATCGCTTGCATCTTCTCTCTTGTCGCTTGCATTGTTGGAAGTGATGAAATCTCTGAAGCTTCTCAGTTACTTTCTTGCTTGGCTGATATGGTCTATTGCACGTATGTATTATCCCTTCCTATAATCTCCCATGTCACTGGCTCGCTTTAGTTATCAACTTTTAGCCAAAAAGACTCATAACAAATATTGTCAATCAATGTGTATTTTACTCATACATACTTATTATTGCTGATTCTGTACAACGTTCTTGATCTTTTGCAGGGTCTGCGCATGTATGCAGGTACGCAAATCGAGTTTCTCTTACATATATTGTTCATGGTGTAAGTTAACCAAAAAACCATTCTCTTCTCTTTGTTTGCAGACACAACACAAGATCGAGATGGACAAAAGAGATGGTGTGTTTGGTTCTCAACCAATGTCAGTGCCACCGGCTCAGCAAATGTCCCGCATTGATCAACCGATCCCTCCCTATGCCGGTTACCCTCCAGCCACTGGCTATCCCCAGCCTTACTATCCACATCCTGGCCATGGTTACCCTCCTGCTCCAGGCTATCCACCTCCCGGTCATGGTTATCCTCCTGCACCGGGCTATCCACCAGCCGGTTATCCTTCAAAGTAAAAACATTAACCGATATCTCAATCTTTTAATTTAAAGTTTTAATATCATCTCAAACCGGCCTGCATGCAGAACTTTTATATTGTTGAGATATTGTCCCTTGGTGTGTTGTGATTACTTTGCAAGTAGTTTTTCTGTTTGGTTTAGGCCCGGAAAGCTTCTATATACTGACTGGTTTGTTGTCTAATTGGTTTTCGGTTTTTGTCTTATCTAATGAAACCATTAACTCTAGAAAACCATATACATAGTATAGTTCTGGACTTTGTTCACACTTGGTGTACCTATGTTTAAATTTTGTACGTTCTAGACTTTCAGTAATGATTCTCTGTTTTCAAAGATTTGTTGGTTTACCGAAGCGGTTGGTATTACAGTCATTGATTTACCTCATGAATTTTTTTTACATCTTTCATTTTCATCCGGAATTGTTTAAATATATTATCAACTTGTGAAAACGACGGTGGAAGTCCTAATTGTGGTGGATGATGAGCCCTTGATTTAGCAAAGAATTAAATAATGACAATTCGTGACACTAAAAATATAGTTAATGCTATTTTATTCGAGCATCTTTTTTCTTGCCTTTAAGCCTTTATAGTCAAAGAGGGTCAAACCCACCATAATTCTTAATAGAATTTGTATAATTTTTAAGTTTTAAACATATGTACGGTACCAAAAAAATACTTTAAAGTTTATTCTATTACAGTACACTAGTTTATTATGGTCATCAACTTCATACAACTAACTAAATTTTAAGTTTCCTTTGAATAATAAGTTCATATTTTATCACATGAAACCCGACTTGCTACAAGCCTACGATATTCGAAAGTTAGTAAAAGTTCTAGTTTAAGATTCTTTCGTAGATCTAATATTTTTTAATGTTATTCATTAAAATGATATTTTGTAGGGAGAAAAAATATTAAAGTGTTCCTTGGTAATCTCTAAAAAAAAAGAAGTTATTGTTCCATAATGTTATAAATTAACCAATCTTTATATTCTAGACTTCTAGTACTCGAAGTACTAGAAAATTAAAGTGTTACTCGGTAATCTTTAGGAAGAAAAAAGAAGTTATTCCATAATGTTATAAGCAGATTAACCAATCTTTATATTCTAGACTTCTAGTACTCGGAAGTATACATCTAAGGTCTAACTCTACAATATCATCATTTGTCAATAGGAGCAATTATCGAGTTTTAGAAAAGGTTTTCTTACTTTGATGGTGTGATTGTAACCGAAAGCTTACAATGATTAGAAACGTGTGGGGCTTTTCCTAAATGGGTTTGACAAATAAGCACAAGCGCAGACAATCCTACGAACGCCACGTGGCAACAGCTGAGCATACTAACTTCAGGACCTCTCTTTGTGGACTCTCCAGTCCCTTTTTCTTCCTACCAATCTAAAAGATGAAGCCCCAATCCTAGCGAATTTAGCAATATATATACCACAAATTTTAAATACAGTAAAAAGGTTGATATTGAAATAAGAACAAAATGAAGATTCTAATTTTGTGTTTAAAAAGATTATTTACAAGATAAAGTTTTACTATTAAACATCATATCATTTTTGTTTTATAAAGAGGTTACACATGAATTGTTTAAATATTATATATTTATTATAGTTTGTACTTCCTATACTGTAGTCTTTACATATACATCGACTAGTTTACAAGAAAATATAAATTCACAGACAAAATCTGAATATATATCACTACCATTGGCTTTATTAATCCAATACAACTGCGCGCCACCTCGCCTATTTGGGTTTACCTTACAAGTTTCATCAAATCATAGTTCGTTCAAATGGTTTCAAATTATGTATAACTAAATTTTTTTAAGTACATAATGAGTATTTGATGCCGTTACCTAATCAAAAATAAGTATTTAACAAATCCAATTTGGATTGTGGTTGAACTTTTTGACTGTCAGCATGCACGATCATAAGTTAGATGTGATAGAAACCCAAACCAGGTCATATACCATTTTCCTAATCGGGATACTACACTTGTTTCAATGGATAATGGGCAAGGTATGCCCATCGAACGTGCATGCTTCGGTGGCATGTGTGTCCCGTCCATACTTTCATATTAAATGATGTCTACTTTGGGTATGTCTTGGCATTCAATACATTTTCGTAGTATGTAGTAACTTTGTTAGTCAAATGATTAAAAAGAAATCGTAAGGGATTAAACTAGTTAACTGATCGAAGTTTTTAAGGTTTTTTAATTATCGATAATTAAACTAGTTAACTGGAGATATTTTAAAGGTTTTTAGCGAGTTTTAGGTTTATTTATACCTTGTACATTATGATAACTCAAAAATATGGTCATGGCTTAATGTCTGTTTCATAACCTGCTAAATAGCTGCAAAATTTCGCAACCCTAAAGAGTCGTTGTTTGTATCTAAAATTCATCATTTTTTACCAATTTTTTCTTAAATTCTGATCCAAATTTTATAAATTCAATATGGACTATTCGATTTATAACCTAAAAATAACATAAAGTGATTTTTTTCAAAATATCCAAATTTCTATAATTGGAAATTTTGGTGACTATCAACCGTCGAGCGATTACCCGCTGCCTTGGCGGTTGAGTAGATCGATTTTTGGAACATGGGTAATCACAATAACATTTTGAAGCGTATAATTAATAAATTTTTAGAATTTCAGCCTAGTTATTGGTATTTCTTACTACGTTAGCTAGAGACGACGTACGAAGGAAATTAGTTTGTTTTAGAAACCGGATTTAAAGACTCAGACCTTAAAAAAAAAAAAAATACTCAGACCTTTTTTACGGCAATAAATACTGCAAGAAAAGTTCCAAGAAAGGTTAAAGAAAGACTCCACAGTAAAGGTGTCACTATCTTCATATATTATTATTATTTCCCTCTAAAGTTGGAGAAAAAAAGTTCTAGAAATGGTTAAAAAAAATTAATATTTCATCTCTTTTTTCCTCGACGGATGATACAAATTAAATTTCCATTTCTTGTAAGCACCACCTGTAGTTTTATATTTACATATATCAACCACTCGACCCAACTAAAAATTAAACAAAACAAAAAACAAAATGAAAAAAAATATATATTTTCCATTTGCAGAAACTAATTCCACGGTTTCCACCTAAAAATATATATAAAAAAATACTCTAAGTTGATTCACCGGTAAGTTCTGAAACACTAATAGATTCCGACCAAATCCGTTGGTTAAAAGCAACTTGTTGATCATCAGGAATAAACGGCGTTCTACAAAGTGGACACGTCATCTGATTATAACCCATCATCCAACGATCCAAACAGCTCCGATGGAATATGTGTTGGCAATTCGTCAGCCGTCGGATCTCGTCTTCGCTCTCAAACTCGCGGAGGCACACGGCGCAGCAATCGGATCCGGATCCGGGTCGGTTCAATTCTGAGAATCTGACAACGGGTATGATTTCTCCGGCCAGCCTGGCCGCCACCGGGTAGAAGAAGGCGGTTTCTTGGTTATGCGCCGTCGTGGAAATCGACCGCGGTTCCGGCCATGGTGACGATGATATCGGGTCGGGTTCGATAAATTCGGGTAGACCCATTAACCAAAAAACAGTGTAAATGAGTTTTCGGATTAAGCCTAAGAGGGAGAGTAAACATAGGAAGATTCTTGGGAGGAGGAGCTCCGTGTAGCCCACCGGGAAACCCATGGCTCCGCCGTTAGAGAGAGAAAGCAAAAGAGGGAGAGAGAGAGAGCGCTTAGAATTGGGGAGGAGAGGAAAAGCAAGAGAAGAGTGGGCTATATATACACGTGGGTAATATATATATATATATATATATGTTATTATTACAGTACATAACTAAGTAACTAATGTATTTATATCTATTTTTTGGGGGGATTATGAAAAGATGTAGTTTTATAGTTCTATTTGATGTTCGTTTGTTTTAGTTATCCATATATATATATATATATACATGCATATTTTTGAATTTGAATATGGATTAGCTACGGTTGCCATATTAATAATAAAGTTTCGATCTTATGTTATTTTTGATCAACAAAATATATATTTATTGTCTTAGCTCGGGAGCTATAAATATTGATCGAGTACAATTAATGAACGAAAATTAAGACTTACCAGATATCATTAATTATGCATTAACTGTTACATTTGGACACAACATTTGATTATTGTGTAACAACAGGAAGAAATATCTTATATTTAAGGATATAGGAAAACCATTAATTTCATGCTTTTAAACAACGAATTCAATCCGTTTTAGACAATTGTATATTTGTATTCATGGTTTTGGTAAATTAGACAGCTTTATTCATATTGAAAACTGTTATTGATTAAATCAATGATTCTTTTTGTAGTTTGTTAATATTTTATTGGTTTACCCATGTAATCGAACTCTTGCGGAACATGTATTTTTCTGTACTATGTGATTTTTTATTTGGAAATCTAGTTAATAAAAAAAAATTTTCTATTTTATCATATATATGTATGATTACGAGAATTTTATATGATTATTTAGCGCATTAAATATTACCGTGTCCACTTAAATATTACGAGAATTTTATATGATTATTATAAGAAATAGCACGTTAGATGTCATCCATTTTTTTGTCAACACATTTTTAATAGTAACTTTTACTATTACCACTTGTCTTATAAACAGCTTTTACGTTTTTTTTTTTCTTAGCTAACACCTTTTTAACACTTTCTGAAAAGATGTTTTATTAGATAAAATTCAAGAAAATGTACAGAAGCTAGAAAACATGAAGGTGGGACATGCGGTTTTAAATGGTTTTATTGAAAAAAAGAGAAAAGGGAGATTTAAATGGTTTCAGATGGTTCCACGAATCATAAAAGTCACAGTAGCAAAAAAATTGGAAAAGTTATAAATAAAACAAATTGTTCAACGATAAGAAAACGTAGATAAAAGACCAAAAAAGATGGACCCGACAACTGTTTTGTTTTGAGGCTTCATTTTTAGTGAGATTTCAACATCATATTTGCCTTTGTCCCTCATATTTTTATAATTATAACACCAACATATAGATATATGATGGATTTATACATGTCTAATTAATTTAGTGACTATACAAGACTATATATAGATTATGAATATGTGGTATTAAAGTTTTCCTTAAGATAGAACATTAATTTTTTTTAAAAACATCATTATTGATGTATATAAGTGCAGCCGCACACACGACAAATAAATGTGACGTGAAGGCAGATTGTTAGGTTCAGTTCACTTCATTTTCTCTACGTCTATTGATTTGACTATATATTATTTCAATTCAGGAAAAAAAAACTGATTTTGAATAATAACACAACGATACCATAATTATCAAAAACAACTAGATTACTAAAATACTCAGAAAAAATGTGCACAATTGCATAAATTTATTCAAAAATTAGTTGAAAGCTAACTATTTTAAAAAGTTTCATAGATAACATTTAAATCATGCACAATGACGAGTTTGGTATTCAACAGATTGGATTCAAATATTGACGTAGTAATAAAATCAGTACAATTACTAGATTATATGTCATGGTCTTTCACGGATTAAGATATAACTAACGAACTAATTTAAGTATGTGTTTAGCTTGTTGTATAATAAAAGTAGATATTGTTCGTTCATTTCAGTACTAATTTTATCAGAAACAACTTGATTCTATTTTTATTATTTTGGAACTACTAGAGAGAGAGAGAGAGAGAGGGAGTGGTAGTCAAGTCATATGGGACCTGAATAAAATGTCTGAAAGTGCCAAAGCAGCACTGACCCACACAGTCTCGATCTTCTCTTCCTCCAACATTTCACATTCCTATATTTACCACTTTCTTGTATCTATCTATATGTACATTTACTTACATGTATAATATATCAGATAAGTATATAATACGTACGCCTACCCAATGGCTGTGACTAGTAAGTTTTGAAAGTTAGGGTTTGCCTGGTTTAAACGCAGCGGTTGTGGTTACAAATGCGTGAGTTTGCAGAAGCGGATGATTGCGGTTTTGAGCGTTCTTCAGCAGTTTGCACGATTAGTTAAATTTTTTAAGACAGATCCGTTTGCGGGACATTTTTGACTGGCAAACCAGCGATTGTTTTAGCGATTAAACATAAAAATTGCCAAAATAAACATCATATATAATTATAAAAAACAGAAAACTATATTATTATGATTAATATCAAAATCACTAGTTCAAAATAATTAATAAAAATTATAAATAAATACTAAATAATTATTTTAAAAACTAATAAATTTTATAATAATAAATTTTATTTTAATTATTGGGAACATCATCCAAAATTTTGTCTAGAAATATAATAGACTGGAAAAAATTGTTCCAATATGTGGATCTTCTGAATTTATCTTATACATGATGTAAAATTTATTCAATTGATCTAATCGATTTTTTGCACGACTCCAACTCAAATCAACTCCAAATTGTTCATTAGTATTATTCAAAATACGTTCTTTCTGAAGTACATTCTAGGATACTTATCTTGAGTTTGTTTTTCCACGATAATCCGTTGAAGTAACGCACATGTCATCTCGTTTGATCATGTAATTTTCTGAATAACAAAAAAAATTATAACAAACTAATTTTGTTATTAATAAGATACATATTTATACTTTCTTACTTTAAAAGTAGAAACAAAAAAAGTAATATAAATGAATTAAACCAACGTTTTATGACATTTATGCTTGTATTTTAATTTTTTCAACTGATATGAAAGCCATGATTAGAGACTAGAACTTGATAGAAAAAGTGAGAGGTTATGATTTATATATATAGGAGAAGATTAGTAGGGTTAAGGTTTTATAATTATTTTTAACATGATCTTTTATTTTATTTTATTTTTTCTATTGTGATTTTATTTGTTTTTTATTTTTTTACCCAACCGTTACCACTCGCAACCGCAAACGCTGGCAGAAAGCAGCTTTTGGATTTCAATGGTATAAAACAATATAAAACGATTTGTAGCGATTTCTATAATTGTGATAAAATGTCACTAATCGCTACCAACCGCAAACGCTGCGTTTGCGGGTGATAGCGGGTGAACTAATCAAAAACCTTATTAGATGAGTGAAGAGGGGATGAAAAACAAAACAAAACAAAAAGAGTTTAAGGGTGTCACTAGTGGGTAACAAAGTTAGAAAATGCAGAGTAAATGTTCTCACTTCGGATTCAACATAATTAAAATATAGCTCCAAAATTTTGATTATAGTGAAATTCATAATTAATGGGCGAAAATGGACGTGAAGTACTATAAATTGTTAGTGTCATATTTGGATCCAAATCCTAAATTTCAATATGTTTTGTTAATAATTAATTCATACTCAAGCGTCTCAAAGGATCAAAGAAAAAGCTTTACTCTTAAAAGTCAGTACTTAAGCATCCTTAACTTTAAATATGTCTGCTAATTCAAAGGGATAACTACAAAACCCCTCCAGATTTGCATGTCAGACGTTGTCGTTTTGACATTAAACTAAAAACTAATGATTTGCAAGTATGGATCAAAGACAACACAACATTATTTATTTTAGGGTTTTCAGACAATTAACTATTATATTTAGGAGTATTGATTTGAGAAGACAAAAAAATTAGAGATGAACCAAGTAATTGTTTATAACCTATTTTATCCCCATTTGAACAGTTACAAGACGAATGATCTAGGGACTAGGATTTCATATTCAATTTTGTTAAAGCGTCATGTGATAAGTTAAACGTTTATATATAAAATCTTGTTTTCCGTAACCTTTAATGAATGGAAATTCCTGATTTCTTTATATAAAAAAACTATGACTATTTTAGAGCAATATGCCACATAATTAATATTAATTTTTCTTAGAATTATGACTCCAAAATATTATAATTTGACAAAATTGATTCACCATACTTTCTTTAAAACAATCAGAAATATAAATATTTAGGACACAGTACTTTTATATATTCTAGATCTAGTGTGTTTTATTAAAAAATGAATTGGTAAAACTAATTTTTTATATATCTTTTTGGTTCGTTTTACATCAACGTTAGAAATTAGCTTTCAAATTAAAACCATTTGTAGAGGAAAATAATAGTAATAATCATCATTTTTCCTTAGTGAAATGGTACGAAAGAGGAACAAACACTCAGTACTCCACTAGTGGATTGGTCCTGTATTGTCTGACTCGGACCACGTGGATTTAATTTGTAAAATAAGAATAATAATTCTATTTTTATATCATTATTTTTGCTAAAAAGTTGTATATTTTACACAATGAATAAGTATATTTATCATCCGTGTTTGGTAGACACTTTTTTTTTTGGAAATTCAGTTGAACCATACCTTTGCACACACTATCGCGTATTAAACTTTTGCTAATTAATTGAAAATTAAAGCTGAATTCTGTTGTACATATAGAATAGTTTTTCTACATATAAAGTTAACGTAAACGGAAACCATATAGTAAATAGTAACAGGCTAACAGCAGTATTTAAATTTTTCAAATTATGACTAAAATCATTCCGAATTCTCTAAAAATATTTCTCCATGTTTATATGTATATATAATTATATATGATAATAATGATCGATATGTACCTCTAAATATGTTTGGTTGATCGAGAAGTACAAAGACAGCTAATACAATAACTGAACCAGAGAATCTCATGTCTCTCCTTCTAGTAGGCAAAGTAACGTGGCCTTACTTTTTCCCTTTTTCGAAACTATATTATTTTTAATTTCTTAATAATTATAATTTTTTAATAAAAAATCACCAAATTAGTTATAGAAAAAACCGAGATAAAAAATTGGAAAAAATGAAAAAAAACTATGACAGGTTGATTAAAAGAAAATACAAAGAATCTAGTTTTTGGTTTATAAAACTAGAGAATTTTAATTTATGTTTATGTTTTTATATATTTATATGCTATTTTTAATAATAAATTTGTTTGATAATGTACTTTTCTTAGTTTGATAGTTTTTTTTTTTATGTCTGCATTGTATTGGTCTGTTTTTGTTAGTTATCTTTATTAGTGTTTTTATATAACTTTTGTTATATAACTTTTATTAGTGATTTTAATTACAGTTTTACAATTATTTTTTTATTTTTCACAATCTCAATATCTTTAATTTTAAAATATAAGCCATATTAAAATTATCAAGATTCTTTTATATAGTTGTAATGAAATTTCTATGTAACTGATCGATTTTCATCTATTGTATATGTAAGAAAAGAAAAAATATATGACAAATTAACCTAATTTTTCATTTTTGTTGAACAAATTTGTAGAGAGATTTTTTAAAATTTTGATTTTATGTTTGAATTTCTGGCCTCTTAATCCTCATTTATTTCTTTAGTTCTGATTATTTATAATAATTTGTTTTTTTCTATATTACATATTCTCGGCTTTGTAAATTAATTGTAAGAAAATATTTTTACCACAAATATATAGTACTTTTGTGACTCTCAAATGATGTAAAATTTATATTGTATATTGTATAATTTTAGACCAAAATTCAATAATTTTTTTAATTGCAATAAATATTTAATATTCTGAATTTTGTAAACGAAAATTATTTTCAATAAAATATTTTCTTATCTTTTGATTCAGTTTGTATTCCATTTTTTTTTAATTTTTAATATCAAATTGATATTTTCTATTTATTTACACTAATAATTTTGATTTCCTATTTTGTATCAAATATACTAATAGTAAATATAAATAGACATATATTAAATATATATTTATAATAGATTTTAATGTTAAAATTATGGTTTTGAGCCGTTAAAAAAAACTATGGTTTTGCTGATGTGGATAGCTTAGATTGAGAGAAAATTCTCTCATTATATAATAGATATATAACAACAAAAAACTATTTATTTTTTAATTTTATATTAGTACAGTTTTAATTTTTGTTTTGGCTCAAATTTGGTTTCCACGAAATATTTTGAAGCTTGTAACTTGCAATACAAAATGTAAATAATGGGCCTAGACCAACTATATTGAGCCTCACTACGAAACATACTCGGGCTTGTCTTTTCTCTCTCTGGTTTGGAACTAGAAACGATAAAATATTAGCACGAATCTGATTCTCTGAAATGTCTTTCTTCATGTTCAATGTGGTCTATAAAGACAGAAAATAACTCTCCTGCTTAATCCAACTTCATGCTTCTCTAATTCTGCTGTACGATGATGCTCCTGAACTGATTGTTTAGGCGAATCATGAAATTTTTATTCTCTTCAATTGATGGCCGGAAAATTAGCATTGGTTAGTTCAAATTTGTTACTTATGTTAAATTTAGTCGGTAATACAAGTGGGATTTATCTTTATTTGAATTTGACCTGTAAGATCGATAGTATGATTATCCAATTTGAAAATTACTACGTTTTGTGAACCTTCATTTTACAATCAATTAGAAATACTGTTTTAGTCTATGTTTTAGAATATTATTTAAAAATTTATCATGATATTTGAAGTGAAATTTCTAACACATTTCCCCAAAATAATGACACTTTCGTTTCATTTAAACTAGCCATAAAGTCCATCTAAATTCCACCTTAAAGTCGATAACTAACCATATTTGGATTATTCATGGGCCATGGTCATATTTTTTTAATGAGTTTCTAATTTAAAAATTAACTAGATTCTAAATTTGCGCATTTTGCAGGATAATTTTTTTATAAATTATATTTTGCAATATATAAAATGTATGAGAAATACCAACTAATTTAAGTGTTGTTTATTCAAATATATTTAGTTTGTAATTTTTAAATTTGAATTAGAATTAATAATTTTTTACCAACAGATTTAATATTTTTTTGGCAACAAATTCAAATTATCTAATAAAATAAGAGGTGTTTGGAAATATATTTAGAAAATGCTTCTGTTTAACACTATAAATTGACAATAAATAAATCTATTTTGTTATATATTATTTAGGTATTATCTTGGGATGTTGAATTCCTAACATCTTACGACTTATAACACGAGATTTGTTTTCCATGCAGAAGTATTACATTAGTCTCTCTCTTGATAATGATTACCTAATAATCAATTCCGCGTTTGTAGAATAGTTTATGTTGGAAAAGTCTTTGTCGTTGACAAAAACTATAAGCAATGAGAATTAAAGTTAATATATTAGTTATAAGTAACTTATAACTGTAATATGATATCTGTCATGCGTACGTGCAAATAAATAATAGGGCTAAAAAAATACTTCTATTGAGAAACACCTATTGAAATAATTTATTTATAAAATATGTCACGTCGACTAAAAAATACGTCACGTACGTGTTAGTTAGTGTATATAAGCCGACAAAAAAAAATTGTATATATATATAGTATATAACCGAACAGTATAATTAATAGGGGGAAATGAAGAAAATTATATTTATCGCTGCGAATATTCAAGCGATATAATAAATATTAATAATTCGACATTCTGATAGATCGATGATTTCTTGTGAATTTATCTAAGAGATTACTTGTGAAATGTACTTAACCTTATTTCTTTTATGTTCGACGGGTGATTTGGTAATTACTGAAGGGATTTCTAACGAC